CTAAGCAATCGATTGCAGATTGAAACAATTTTTTTGCCATGACTCACCAATTGGCTCTCTGAGTATGTAATCCACCATCCCCATATCCCTTCCAGGTATATGAACTACTTTGAATTGAAATGGCAATAAACGATCAACCCAACTTAGATTGGGAGGTTTTGTTGGACCTATTACTATCCAGTTCGCGGTTTATGCTTTGTGATTAGTTGCTATAAGGAAGTTTGTTCCAAAAAAAATTTTGTTATATCTATCCACAACCCAAACTACTGCTAACAGTTCTGATTCAAAACTAGAGTTTTTCTTGAACATTTAAGTACCATGATGCAAATAGTATCGGTACCCATTCATTTTCCCGATTTTTCTGTTCTATGATAGCCCCAGTTCATTATGGCTATGATCGCACTTCACTCTATTTCTCGGTTGGAACCATAATTATTAACCTTAGAAACATTCGCTACCGCTGTTTTAATTTCTTCAAAATGTTTGTATGTTCGTCTTACCAATATAATTTTTCAGTTTTTTCTGTTTTTTTTTAATTTAGCAGCGGTCTTAGCTTTTCTGTGAGACTCGGTGTGTTGGAGTTGAACATTGCCAATTGATTGATGCTCCCTAGTCTCGATGACCTAAGTTGATTCAGAGTCAGTCTTATGTGGACTAAGTTTTTTGATTGCTTCTTATTTTGATATCTCTAGAATGACAGCTTTTTCTGACAGATAATTACCTAGGCCGTTTATTTCTTTTAAAAAAAAAATCTCACACTTCGCGATTTTAAGCGATGAGTTTTCCTCATTTAAGTTTTTCATCACTTTTTTTATTAGCTTCTCATGTTCGCTTTCTGTTCACTGAAATAATAGAAAGCTGTTCCCTGAGTTACTAATAGAATGTCATCAAGGCAGCAAAATGTATTAGGGGCTTTTTTATGTTTCGGTCCAACCACATCTGCCAGACAAAAAACCCCTTAAAAATCTGTAGGTTCCATAGCAATTCAATCAACTATTTTAAATTTTCACTGTTTCGATGTTTCTGTTGATAGTTTCAATTGACTGCATGCATAATTTAGATCTAGCACAAAAAAAAATATATTTCTCTCTGCTGATTCTAGTAACAATTTGGCTCACGCAGTTACTCGTCAAAATTTGGCATCTGGTATGTATTTTGACAAATTGTCCTTTTATTGGTTTTTTGTCTAATGCCAATTTTATTGAGTCGTCTTTTTTCTCAATGATCACAACTGATGCGATGAAACAGTCACTTGTGCACTTATTCATTTTTTGTTTGTGTCCGTCATCTAGCAATTTTTCATTTCAATGGCACTTTAATTTAAATATGTATAAGGATCCTTCTCCGTTTTTCTAGGATTGGGCCAAATGAGTACTTAACTTTTGATGATACTACATGATTATTCGATCTTCCTTGTCTAACAAATAGTTGTTTGTATTTATTGTAGAGTTATAACGTCAAACTGTGACAATTCCCTCGGCGCTGTCTTAAGTGTTGTCCCTGTAAATCCAAATCTAGGATATATCGCGTTTTTATATCCGTTATAAGGAGGTTTGCCCCCTTTCACTTTTCATCCCGCAAAAACCTCTTCCAATCTTGTTAACAGCAAGTTCTTTTTCTGCTCCCTGTGATTTGTTGTCCTGATTCGTCATCTGGCTTAGGACAAAATCCTCAAAGTTTTTCAGTTGACAGAAGTTCGAAGTCGTCACAGACCTCGAAATCTTCCACCTGATTACATTCAGGTTCTGATGTTTCAAATTCCTCCTCGACCGCATTAACCTTTGGAGGCCGACACAATTTCGCAAAATTGTTGGTTTTTCCATACTTTTTCATGTTTTTCCCATTGCATGGCAGCTTTTGACGTGTCCTTCCATAAACAATCTTGCGCACCTGTTACAAGGTTTATTTTGCTCATTGTTTTTGTGAAGATTGATTGTTTGCTTGTTTTTGTTCAAATCCTTTTCTCTGTATCCCCTCTTGTTTGCGTTCTTAACCGTTTTTATCGGTTCCTGTTTTATTTTGAACGTTAGATTTGCTGTGTTCGATGCTGCTCCTGCAGTCAATGAGTTTTTTTTCTAAAAAGCCGATGTTGTTTGCTCACTGTTTTTAAACATTGTCGCTCTTTTAAGTGCCTCTTCTGGGGTTAAAGCTTCCACTGTCAGAGTGTCCTGAAGCCTTGCATTTCCCATTCTTGAATTTAATAGATCTGTTACTATTCCTTTTTTCGATGTTTCTAGATCCGATCGAGCTGTTTGTGCAGTAAAAGCAGCATGGAACGTCTCTAGTGTTTTCTCTTGTTCTTGTATTCTGTTCAACATTTTTTTTGGTTCATACGTGACATTTTTCACCTTTTCGACTGCTATTTCATCCATTTCGATAAATTGTTTAAAAGTTAGTTCCGAAATTTCGATGTGTCGATTTTTTTGCCTCAATATTTTTCCCCTACCGTTCCTAATGCAAAAATAATCGTGATATCAATCGTTTTTTGACTTCAAGTAAAATACATTGTGCCCAATTTTCGAGCCTTTTGCTTGTTTCTTGATTAAATTAATCCAGTGCTAGTTTGTTTCTTAGCTTCGTCGCTGCCCATGAAATTACATCCTCTTTGGTTTTAGGAGATTCTGGCCTCGGCGGTGCTTCTTCTACCTCATTTTTTTGGTCTTCAAATATGTGAATACACAAAAAATGTGGCAGTAGAGCCACCACTGAGGCCAGAATCTCCTAAAATGGGACAGGATGCAATTTTATGGGCAGCGAGGGAGCCAAGGAGCCGTAATTATAGTGTACATGTATTTTGAGATAATAGCAATAGCATCAAGGTTACTGTTTGACAGTACCACATCCTCAAAGACGTCACGTTCGTTTGATATATGATATATAACGTGAAAAACAAGGTTTGGGTGCTTCGAATTATTTTTACCTAGTCAGTACAGAAAATTCTCTATCTAGTTTCCTTTTCTTTGCTTAAAATATGCTACTAATGATCCTGATCACAGTATCATTTTTATAATTTTCTGATCCAAAATTCTTTCCTGAGTATCATTTTTGAGCAATAGGAACATAACAATTTAAAAATTCACATCAAAGAAAAAATTGCTGCAGTTGTTTTGAAGAGCCTCAATTCTTTTTAAACAAATCGTAGAACAATTGGCTCTCTTAACGGAATCAATAAACCATTTTTAAATAATTCTTTTTGAATCCTTTTGAAGAAATCAAAGTTTTGCGCTTTATGGGATTATAAAGTAGAAAAATGTGATCCAAATGTTGATGAGGGATCCTGTTAACAAATTTCTCTGAATGTGCAAGAGAAATTAGTCATAGCTATGACTCGGGATTGATTATGTTTTTTAAAGTTTTTTTTCAACGCTTCAATCAGTTTAAAACCTATAAACTTTTACCCCAACAACTGAGATAGATGATAGTTTCTTGGAAAACAAACAGTGAAGAAAACCCCGTTTGTTATAGCCCTGATTTTTTCAAACAATGCCCAATAAATTGCACTCAGTGTTATAACACACTATTTATAAAAAATTTTGACGGTACTTTTCTAATTTGAATGATCAGTTTTGCTGACTTTTGCGAATCAATCTAGATCAAAATGATACAACAAAATCTCACTTGGGCCAAAACTTTAAAATATTCTGGATTTTCAGATTTTGTAATTTTTTGTTTAAAATTAATCCATTGATTTTTCAAAAAAAAACATAAAGAGTGTTTGGGTTTTGAATTATTAGTGAAATTTTTAGTCAAAGCTAACAAAACTTCGTAAATATGACATTCGAAAAACTTTTTTGTTATTTCGTGCAAAATTGAAGTTGACGCCGTTTTGTATTTCGAAATCACAATAAACGGCTTTTGTTCGATCATTGAAAACGCGGAGGATTTCTGTTTTCGGGTGTAATGTTTTTGTTTTCCACGCAATTATTAATTGGTAACACAATTATTAATTGGAAATGATCAATATAATGAAAACTTAAGTCTTATCAAAAGTGCTCGCATATCAGGGCAAAACTTTGAATGTTCCAATTGCACTTAGAGGCAAATTAAAAAAAACTAAAAAATATAACAAAATAATCGAAAAAAAAGGAAAACCATTTTTTATAAACTGATTTTTCCCAACAAACGCTACAAAAAGATGTATTTAGCTTCTTGTGTTCTAATAGTACGACCAAATGCTTATGCTTTTCCTCAAATTAATTTGGGACGCCTTAATTCGCCCCATACGAGTGTTATAAGAACGTGATATATCGCGCGTTAATAATCAAAAAGTGGCTAAATTGGCAATTTTTAAACCCACATAACTATACAAAAAAAATCGCAGATAAAATATATCCTGAAATTTGAGCTAATTAAAATAACATCCTTCAGATTGTATAAAAAGTCCGTCAAAAATCGAAAACTGACTGAGTAAAACGAATCTACCTCAAGCATCAATATTTGGCAGTGTCTTCGAAATTCGGAACAAAAAAATTATCGAATTTGTGTGAGTGTTTTTGCTTTCTTATTCTATCATATACATTAAACTTTCAAAACAGAGTTATCTACTACGCAATTCTTTATATTTGCGACAAGGAATAGATAATTAGAGTTTCTTTAGTAGATGGTTTTAAAAGTCATAATCGTTCCGACTTTCGAAGAAAGTGCGGAATAATTATGCTTGGGATGTTTTTTTTTCAGTGATTTTTTGAAGTTCAACTAAGAATTTTTAAAGAAAATGCGTATACCATCTGATAGATATTGTTGTCTTGAGATCAAATATAAACAGATATTTTACTTGTGAGTGTTTTGTGTAAAGTTATGGGGGTTTAAAGAGTAATAATTTGGCCAGTTTGAGACAACTAACGAGTGATCTAACGAGTAAAAACCTTTAAATTGACCTTAAAATGCAACTGAAACAATTGGGGTTTCGCCCTGATATACGAGAAGTTTTGTTATTACTAAAAATTGCTTTTCAACGAATATGTGGATGTTTTATAATTTAAATTGACATTTTTGTGGCTTTCATACAAATGTCTCTTTTTATCTGCACAATCTACGAGACTCTTCTGAAATTTTGTATGCTAAATAAAGTTTTGATATAATTTGCTCATGAATTGAACCACTAGTTTCAACCTTTGCAGTTGTAAATTTCCAAGCAGTTTTTTCTTTTCAATTTTTGTTCAATGCCAATCCAGCATTTAGTTCCCAGTTTTTAGTTTTTGGTCCTTTTCTCTGGATAACATAAATTAGCGTTGTGGTTAGGATTATGGGGTTGCGATATCTATCTAGGCAAAATCTGAGATCGACCCATACTTGTGAGCAAGATGTCCGAGACTGATTGCTTGAACATCGAATCATCTTCCGACTCCTCGTCTCCGACTCTTTGTGATCTTCTGGCGGTAGTGTCCAATGGTATGGCGCCTTTCATTTCCGAACTCAATTCCGAGTTCCCATCTGCATGCTTTGCATGGTAATACAGTCGTCTTATGAGTCCGTTTTTCCAGAGAAAAGCCAGATACCACAATCCGGTCACGGCAAGCATCACAGCGTATGCAAGTGACATGTAATAAAACCCAATTTGTTCGTTTAGATAACCCCCGATTACAAATGAGCCGAAAGTTCGCCCAAATGAAGATTGGAGGTTGTAGCAAGAGGCTGCTATGGTTTTGATCTGTTGCATATTTGTAAGACCTTGTCTTAGAGCCACTTTCTCAAAAACCAGATATGTTGGATTCATCATTAGCGCAATAACAAAGCCAGTTCCGAACAGAAAGGAAACGCCCCAGTAAACGGACTCTAGTACTGGGAAGATCTTTGGGAGAAAGAATCCGAGAGAGATCATAGGAGCTATAAATTGGGTTATCATCACAATGTATCCCCCAAAACCAAATTCAACTAGAACTCCCACAATCGGGCCGGCAAGAAAATATGCGACTGAATTCGCCGTGAATATATAACCGACTGATTCCGAAGTCAACCCCAGAGTGTTTTCAAAGTAGAGCGAATAAGCCGAATCTCTAACGCCACAAATGCAGAAAATAGTGGCGGCTGGAATCGCGACGCTAAGCGTCGAAGGTTTGGTTATAAAAATAATATAATCGGATGCTTGTACTTTTGATTTTGCCTTGGCGCCTTTGGATGGTACGAAGATAAGAGAAAAAGAAGCGACGATGAATTCGATAGCGGCGACGCACAAGAACGGAAGTCGATATCCGCCGAAAGGTAGCAACACACTGCCGACAGGTGGTCCCAGACATAGGCCGAATCCGAGAGAAGTCTGTATTATTGTTGTAATTACACCTGATCAAAATCACAGGGTTAAGGGGGATTTCTAGGATATTTGCGAGGAAAATTTCAAACAGTTATCACAAATGTTTTTGACCTTTTTTAAGGCTAACAAATACGTTTTTTGTAAGCAAAAAATTTATGCTGTCAGCAAAGTTGGGCTAAAAATTGTTTAGAACTCTTGAATTTTTTCATAAAACTTTATGTTTTTTGCATGTTTTTATCTCAAAATTATATTTGTTTATCAGCTTTCAAGTCATTTTTTTAAACATTGAAGTTCATCAGGATTTTTAAACCACGTCCGAAAAATGCAAATCTATAAATGTTCTTAAATTAGATTAAAAAAACAGACAAGTTTGGGCTTTTTGGGCATTTTTTAAAAATCAGACCTCTTGAAACACTAAACTAGAGTTGAATTTCTGAAAAAGGGTTATTTGATAATTCGAGATGTGCTTTTAGGCCTAATAAGTGAGAGCAATGCAAGTTACTCCAGATACCTGCCCTCTCTGGATACACCTGGACTGCGATTGGGAGTGCGGTGCTGTAGAGCATAGAGGCCCCGACTCCATTGCACACTCGGCACACGAGACACGACACGAAGTACACAGTGCCATCGGGTGCATCCCCGAGGACTCCGAATGCGCCTACTGTTATCGAAGACCACAAAGTGCCCCAGACGAAGAAGAATTTGATGCTGTGGGCCGAGACGAGACTGGCGACCACGAATGAGAAAATCAAGTTGGCCACGTCAACAGAGCCGACTACGAGGCCAATCTGAGTCTGAGAGAGACCTGAAGAAAGTGATAATAATTAGTATTATTCAGTTATAGTTTTTATATTATACAATTTCATTAGTAATTCTATCATTGTAACATTATAATGTTATAGAATTATAGTATAATGCATTAAGATACGTGAAGTTCTTACGTTCGCCTCGCCATTGAAATCTTTTAAGTTCCGAGCGGCATGACGCCAGTTATCTTTTGCCAGCGAGAAAGTGGAAAAAGAGCCATCAAAAAGAGCATAACGAGTGAGATCACTTTGGACAAAAAACTATTTACTAATTAATTGTAATTAAGAAATGAGAATAATTAGAACACAACTCGACCTTTTTTCTCGGCTTCAGCTGGAAAAAATGGACCCGGGAGAGACAAATTGGCCCCCTCTAAAGTCACTGTAAGCACACACATAAGCAGCACGATCCGCTTCGTCGTACTGCTCAGCCTCTCTGCCTCCGCCAGAAGCCGATCTGTCTCGGACACAGTCACCACGTGACTCATTTTCCCGAAACTCGACTCGGCAAAGTTCGCATCAACACGAGTGGGCTTCATTGGCTTGATTTTGACTCAGTTTCAGGCTAAGACTGACTAATATTTCGATTACAACGAAACTAAAAATGCGATTATCTGTAATTTTTGCTATATTTGAAATTGAAAAGTTAGAAGAATAGCTGGTTGCATTTGTTTTTGCCATACCGTGGGTACCAAGTCCTAATCAGATATTTGAGTGAGTGATTCCAAAATTATTCTCTGGATGTTGTTTATTAATAGCCAACGCTATTAACTTGACATTTACCTAGTAACAGACTAGTTAGTTGGGTGTGTTTGGCTTTGTCATTGAGAGTAGATTATAAAACTTCATAAAGCAAACACACCCAAGTGTAAAGGTAAAAACAGAACCAAATAGTTTCAGATTAAAATATTTGAGCCACTAAAAACTTTGATGAGAGACAAGGCAGAAAAATCTTGAAATTGGCGAGAAAAACTCAATTATTTGATCAGGTAACTCTATAATATCCTAATTACAAGCTATTACACTGCAACGGTGAGTTGTCAGTTTTCATACAGTTTTTGGCGCAAAATTTCGTACAAACTTTACGGCGCTAACTTTTTGGATTGTTGAAATAAGTCATCAAATGAATAGAGGGACAATGGATATATAGGTGATTTCAAAGAAAAATGAACAAAGAGTAATGATGAATTTGAGTGATTCCAGAGCCAAAACCAACTACGAAGACAAGTCATAAGAGGTCGAATGATCTATCATTTTGAAACTCATTCAGTCGTTACTTGGATTTCAAAAAAATCATATTCATTCTTTCACATTTGTTTGTAAAACAGTGCACAGTAGATCTTCCCTGGTCTTCGTTTTTGGTAATCAAACAAGACTGCACGTATGAGGTCAAAATTTTTAGTCTTTCGACGTATCTTTAAAATGTGTAAAGTTTTCTTGCAGAGAACAAGTTCTCAAAGACTTGATTATGTTCAAAACATTTTTTAATTTATCCCCACACAAGAGTGCGAGGGGGCGTCTGCCTCCCCTCCGAAATTCGAAGTCTTGGCGCTCGTATCAGGACAAAGCCTTGAATGTTCCCACTGCCTTTTAAGGTATATGGAGCAGTAATAACCTTATAAACTAAATTTAATGAAATAAAAAAAAAATTTAACAAAATTTTAGACCTTGTGAAAATCATTACCCCACACGCCATATAAAATACAATGTGACAGATTTAGCTCCTGGCAATAATGGCAACAGAGCTTTCTTCAACCAATTTCGAACGATTTCTAGGTCGGATTAAATCTCCGCTTACGCGTTAAAACTGCGAAACATATGCACGTTAATTGTCCCAAGTTGGCCAAAATGGCAATATTTAAACCTCCATAATTTTCTGAAAAAGGATTATAAGTTAAATAAATTTTTAAGATTTAAGCTCAGGACAATAATAACTTTTGATTAATATGAACAAAATTGGTCCAAATTGGCTAAATAAATAATTGAACTTTGTCTGAAGATAAAAACCACCCCGGTATTTCGCTAATTTCGTTATGAAAGTTGGAACAATTAGCCAACAAAGGCTACATACAGACTTGTAGAAACTCATCCAAGTTAATTAGTTTAATAGTAAATCAAAGCTATGACAATTGGTTTGCGAGAGATTACACATACTGATGAGCAATTCAATTTTGAGAAAAAAAACGGTATTGCAACCCTGATTACTTCTCTTAGTTAACTTTTTCTAATTTTGCTTGGCGCTAATGTTTTTCCTCGCCTTGAATCAATGAGTGAAGATGCATAAAGGTGAACCTCAAATGATAAATGATGGACCAATTTTTTGCTTGATAGAAAGGGCTTCTAGCCGTTTGTGCACTGCTCTAAGCAACATATTTCATCTTAAACAAAAAACACACTGAGACAAACTATAAAAAACTTTTGAAAATGCCGGCATTTTAAATCAATTTAAAAAATACCAATGACACTTTATAATATCACGGAACTGAATAATCACGTATGATTTCAATTTCAGTTGTCTAAGTTACTAAACTTTTTTATGTTTTCTTGATTGCGTAAAACAGTAAATTCTAATATAATTGACATCAAAATGATTGATGAAAGAAGAGACAATTTTTAATAAACTCTTATGAAAATCGTATGTTAGGTCTGCTCGTATCAGGGGAAAACTCTGAATGTTCCGACTGCCCATTAATTGGTCTCGAATAATTTTTGGTTAAGAAAATGATGCAATTTAAGAATTGCAGGCTGATATCAAAATTTGAGAGTAAATTTTAGATCGTGTATAGAATCAATAAGACCAGCTAGCTTGCTTCAATTTAATTTGGAACTATTATGAGTATAAATATTTGCATACAGTATTGAAACTCTCAAAGTATCACTCTAGCAGCAGACCTATCCGCACTCATAAGCTGTCAACATTTGTTACATCTGTCTGACCAACCCACGCATATATATTCCTCACTTTCTATAAAGTAGGAACAATAAATGAAACTTGCATCTTTTTAAATTTTTTTTCAAATAATCACAACATTGGAAGACAGATTGTGAGCCTGTTTAAAAGTTTTTTCTTTGAAGATAATCAAAATTATTTTAAGTGAACGAGTTTGATGTCATTCTTTTTTTTACAAAATTTGTTTCATCTAAGTTGTTCCAAATTGCCACCCAAAGTTTCGGCAATTGGATTTAAAATGCAAGAAGTATAGCTGCGGTGTCAAGTTTCAGGGAACCTGTTGATTGGCAAAACATTAACCAAAGTTTTTGTTAGCTACAAAATCCGGGTTTGATTAGGATTTTGAAGATATTTTGATATCTATGCTTCTTACTTGCTTAAAATGACAATTGCCGTGCAGCTTTTTCTAAGTTAAATGACTTTTTTGGGTGAATAGCAAAAATTAATTGGACAGCGAAAATTTTCCGAAAATTTCAATCATTTTCTTTCGTTACTTTGAACCATGAAATTGTCAAGTTTCGCATTAACAGCAAATGAAAGAAAAAGCTTTAACAAACATTTGCGGGGAAAGTTTTGCGTGGCACTTTAGTTCCTGATCACGTCGTGACCAAAAAAATAAAAACATAGGTTAAAAATATTTCTGTGGACAAAACGCTCGTTGCAAATTTGACCAACGTTTTTTTGATGTCGGACTTAATTTCAACTAATTGCATGGCTCCAAACACCTAAATCAATCTTGTTTTAGTTTTTTGGATTGCGTAAAACAATTGTTTCCATAGAAAACGATATCACAAGAATTGAGCTGTTACCTCTCTAAAAACACATTTTAGGTCAACTAATTGAAGCTTGCGTCTTTTTAAATTTATTTCTTAAATGAGGCACTCATAACATAGAGCGACAAAATATAAGATTGCTTAGAAGTTTTTTATTTTAAAATATTCAAAATTATGTGAAATTCAAGGAAGTGGTTTGATGTTAATCTTGCTCATTAACAAGGTTTCAACCTGGTTTGTTTTCATTTTCCAAACAAGCTCTCAGCAATTGAATTTTAAATGCAGCTGCGAATTTGACCAACGTTTATTTGATGTCGGACTTAGTTTCAACTATTCGCATGGCTTCAAATACCTAAATCAATCTTGTGTTAAGTTTTTTTCTGGGTTGCGTAAAACAGTTGTTATTTTTTCTTTTAAAAAGTTTCTCATTTTGAGTTTCGTTTGTTTTGAGTTTCAGTAATGTTTTGGGAGAGCTTGGTAACCAATTAAATTAAGTGGATTTAAAAAAGTCGAAATGAGTTTCAAAAGAGTTTTGAAAATCCGATTTTTCTTGAGAAAAGCTAGATCTACTCCAGGTATCAAATTGATAACTTTCATGATAACTTGCCCTGATACGAGCAGTCTTGTTAGAATTTTAAAAGCGTTTTATTGACTGCTACAAGCGTTCAGCTGCCCATAGTCAAATTTTACTGAAAACTCGAACCACTTTCTTTATACACTTTTCAAGTAAGAAAATTATAAGCATCGAAGAAACCAAGACTGAAAGAGCTTTAACGAGATTTAATTTTGTGTGGAAAGTTTTCCATGAAGCTTTTGTTCATGATCATTTCGTGACCGAAGTAAAAAGGAAACATCGATTGAAATATTTTCTGTTTACAAAATGCTCGTTGTATTTTCGTCCGCCATTTAAATCGATAAAAGAGATACTTATTTCTTCTGGAAATAATCACCCTGACCACCGAAAGAATCCCCCTTTACAATTACTTCAGGACCAAAAAACTTCTCTAAATGCACCTTAGAAGGAAGCGCGCGCCAAAAAAAACTCATCGTTTTGATCAAAACTCTTCAAAAAGTTCTCAAATGCGGAGTTTTTTTTGAAGTTTCACTTTTTTGAGTTTCAGTAATGTTTTGAAAGAGCTTGGTAACCAATTAAATTATAAGGATTTGAAAAAGTTGAAATAAGTTTCAAAGGAGTTTTGAAAATCAGATTTTTCTCCGGAAAAGCTAGATCTACTCCAGGTATCAAATTGGTAAATTTCCTTGCCCAAAATACTTAATGGGAGGATGTTAGATTGGTTCTAAATTTGAATTGTTTTCCAAAAATTAAGGCACTTCTGCTTTTTTTAGTGATGGTCGGCCAAAAATGGAGAAAAAAAACCGGCTCCATTCCTTTCCGAAAGCTTTTTTAAACGTTTTAATGCAGGTTTTTTTTACAATTTCAATTGTTTTTTTTTTGGAGTGAACCTATTCGTATTCTTGGGCTCTACATTAATGTTATCAAAATTTAATCTGTTCACCTGAGCTGAGTTGCTAAAAATGCAATCTAAATCAAGTGAAATGAAGAAAAGAAACTGTTAGCTAACACGTGAATAGAATTTTTGTTCATCATTCTTGCCCTGATTGTTCTGGGAACTAAAAGTGGGTTTATTTTGGGCTCAAAATTGACTTGCACTCATTTTTTAGGAAAATCCCCGGATGGAAACAAACAAAGACGAACAGAATCTACCAAAATCAATCATATTGATGTCGTGAAGCGCGTGGAATTATGCAAGTTAAGCTGCATAAAACAACGCAAAAATAATACCTTTTTCTACCATTGTACCTTTCTAATCAAATATCTTTCCAATTAAATTTAAGTTTTGATGTAAATTTTCATGCAGTTTATGGTTATTGTATTTCATTATAGAACTTTTCCGTTGGGAGTTCTTCAACATTGCAATTAGCAAGAAAATTGTTGTTCTCCGTTAATTAACTTTGTTTCATTTTCCGCTCGGGGCTTTTTGGGAGAGTTTTAAGGAAATAGATATAGACAACTTGCACCGGTGCGAATTCATCAGATGAGAATTATTAATTAAAGCTAGCGGGGAAAATAACTTTTATAAGCCACGGGGATTCCCTTGTATCCGTTACATCGCAACGGGAGCGGAGAAAAAAAATGATGCATTTTGCAATCTATTCCCATATATCACGCTTAGTTTATTTCTAAAGTAAGCTATGCTTGTGCCATCTTTGGAGCATTTAGACTATCTTCTAATTCCTGCTAGATCAGGTATCTTATTAATTTCGTAAAAACAGCAAGAAATTACTTTAAAAAAGATTACAAATTATTTAGTTTATTTCTTGTATATTATAAATAGATTTTTTTTGCTAATTCATATAAGTCTGTTTTTATAAAGCCATTTAGAGGATTGTATTGACTTGCGCTGCGCGCCTTTTTTCATTTCCTAAGAAAATGTTTGGTTGACATTTTATGCAATTGTAATGCAGAACAGGTTTTTTTATCCTCTTGTGGAAATTTCGTGGAATTTGAGCAAAGTTTCGAGAATTCAATTTCTTGGAACTTTGAGTTTTTAGAGTGGAACCCTCTATTTGCGTAACCAATTAGAACTTTTTTTCTAAAATGTAAAAACCGTATTGTTTTTAGGTAGTGCTTTGTTAGATTTTTTAAAATAATATAACGTTGTAAAATCTTAACAGTCCTTGATTAAAAACACCATCAATCATCATCTATTCCAGAGTTCTGAATCTCAGGTGTTTTTATGCTGAATTCATATTCCGGTGGCTTGCAGTCTAATTTCCTTTCCCCCGTTGGTATGAAACATATATCTGTCCTGCCATTTAGTTTGAAAAGATAGGTACTATTTATATGCTCTGTTTTGTCAGTGGAGCTCACATAAAACTATCTATCAGGCTAGCTATCACTTATTCCTTTTGGGCACATGAGAATAGTGAATAGATTTCAACAGTAGATCGATATCGGAAAAAGATAGCCCAGATAGGTAAAAAAATCCTCCTAATTGTTTTACTGGCATTATTATAACCGTGTGTATTTAGGGTCAGAAGTATGAGGGTTTAAATTCATTGGTATATAAAATGCGTCTCGGTTATTTGACCACTTGTGCCCCGGGTAATTTTGTTCAGTTGGTAAGAAAAAGGCTCGAAATATTCCCTTTTGTAATTTGAAATGTTTCTAATCGCCACCTATATTTTACTTTATAAATCCCAGCGATAGCAGATTTAAAATGTTATACTCACAGTGGTAGACACTAACCATTTAGACAGTTATTCCATTATAGATTTCCAGTTTCTGTCCCAAATTTACCTTTCTTTTCCTTTTGTTTGTTTTCCAGATATTGTCAACTTTTTCCTCTCACAAATTAAATTTTCCTGGCATGCAAAATCTGGCCACTTAAAAATATTACCATATTTTGCAAAAACAGTTCATATTGCACCCCATATGAAAGAGTAAAAAGAGAATGAATAATAATCAATCAATATAGTTACTGTTTTATTCAATTCCTCCTGTTGGACCAAAAATAATCACCTCTTCCTGCTTTTTGTAGTAGATTGTAAAAAGTATTCATAGGTTAGGTTTACGTCTGCCATACTAAAATTGTGCTGCTCTTAAACATAAAGTGTAGTTTTTTTTTCAGAAAACGGTATTAAAATCATTTATATTCTCATTTAGAGTCTGTAAGCAATGTGCCTGTTAAAAATAAAAATATGAAAATTCCTCGCTCACTTTAAATTACATTCCTGTTTACCTTCATTATTCCATGAATTTTCGATTATGTGACGTAATCAGCGTTTGGAAGTGTCTCTTCAATCTGAAAATGATTTTGATACCCACATTCTTACTATTGAGCATAAGTTCGTGACAGAAGACAATTCGACTTTCTGGTCTCATTGGATCCTCTTCATATTTGCTGTTTTTTTTTTGTCTGACCTCTCCTCATTTTCACTGTTATTGTAACTTCCTAAAATGGCAGTGTTCAGTTGGGTCGCGATGGGTGGTCAGGTGGTGACTCTGATTCTGGGTTCCCTCTCAGTCGTCATGGACAGCTGGTGGCAGTCAGACTTCCCCCTCTCGGCAGGGGGAGGGAACGACTTTGAGGAGGGGCAGGGGGAGGAGAGCAGAACTGGACTGTGGTACCCCTGCCGCAAGAAGTGCGGTGAGTGCAGAGTGGGGGGGGGGGGTGGTTGGGAGATTTGGCACTGAAAGAATAAGGATTTAAACTGAAATTCATTACTCATTTTTTTTCAGTTTTTTTACGTTAGCTTTGATTAATACAAACTGCATCAAAAATTGATTCAAAATATTCTTCAATTCTTTTTTTGCTTAAATGAAACAAAACCATAAATGCACCATGTTTTCCTACCACTGCCTAAATTAAGGAAAGATACCGATACTATAGAGTAAATATACCGTTGATATGCTATGTTACGGGCAGACCTAAAAGTTTCCCTCTACGGATTTCAAATTATACAGCAACAATTTCTGTAGAGGAGACATTACGGGATCTCGGGATCTACCAAGCCTCTGTCCCTAAGCAGTCCATTTTTAACGCAATTGTGCACAAACACTGCTACATGTTTAAGCTTCATACATTACTTTGTACTACCACTTGTTAGATCATGACATTGAAAATTATGTCTTGCAAGAATGGGGGGGGGGGAGGGGGGGGGGAGGTTGAACAGATATAGATAAGCTGCTAATTACTTTATTCTTTTTTTGGGTAGGTTCTGTGATACGAGTGTGGCTGTTTCAAAGACATGATTTTGTGTTTTCCTAATTGCTTGTTAGGTTCCGTGATAAGAGTGTGGGCATGTGAAAGACTTTTCCTTGTTGTTTGTTAGGTTCCGTGACAAGAGTGCGTTAAAGACTTCCTTGTTTGTTAGGTTCCGTGATAGTGGTGCGACTGTGCATGAGTGTACAACTGGTGCCCTCTGTGCTCTCCTCCTGTGCCATGATCGCCTTCTGCACCCGCCTCATGAACCGACACAACCGCTTCCTCCTCAAGTCAGCCACCAACGCATCACTCCTGCAGGGTACACATAACTACCTAATTCACGCACTGCACGACAATACTCAGGCCGATTGCCGAAGTAGTGAACGTAGCGTAGGAGGGGAGCGAAGCAAACATTAGCTAATTGACAATGCCGCATTGTACTGCCTCATATGCGCATTTTTCGTCATTGTTGCACTGCCTCATATGCTTTTTTTTTTCTTGAATGTACATCGAAATCAGCAATATCATCTGCCTCAGAAGTTATTTCAAATTTAAAAGAGGCATGCACACTGATTAGTCTAAATAAATAACTAAATTTGAGGGGGAGCACGCGAAGAAAACCGCAACTTTTTGGTCATTTTTTTGGTGTTCAAAACGTCATTTTTAAATGGTTTTTCAAAAACATGCTTGCGGCGCAGAAAATTTTGGACAAAATGCGGTCTTTATTGTATTTTCAGAGAGCTCAGAAAATCAAATTGTTCGACCTATAAAGAAGGTTTACTAAATTTTCAATTTGTTTTTTAAAAACCGACCATCTCACTTAGGAAAACATCTGATCACCCCACTGGTGTTAAATCATACATATTATATGATTTTGTATATTATATGAAATTATTATACCAGGAGAAATTGGGGACAAGAAACTCAGTTTTATTGAAAGATTAAGAGATAGATGACCAAAAGATAGATTTAGAAGACTGCTCGTTTATCAAGGGGGGCGTAGCGAAAAACATGTGTGCATTTTAGCATTCTCTAATTACTGTTCCGACCATTTGGAAAATGTAGAGGAACTTTGTTTTCTGGTGTGCTTTAGTTTTTTGTTCCAACTTTCGATACGAAAGTAACGGAATATTTGTGCTCGGGGTGGGTTTTTTTTCTTCAGACAAATTTCGACATTTTAACTAGCCATATTTGACGGAATTTTTAAATATAACTCAAAAGGTATTGTTGAATTCAGCTTAAATTTGAAAAAATATTTCACCTGTGACTGTTTTTCGTAAAGTTATGGGGGTTTAAAGATTGCCATTTTGGCCAATTTGGGACAATTAACGCGCGATATAATTCGCGCTATTAATGCGTAAGCGGAAGTTTATTCCGTCTAAGAAATCGTTCCAAATTGGTTGAAAGAAGCCTATTTGTCATAAATGATTTGTTACAAGGAGAAAAATTTATCATTTTGTAGTTTAAATGGCGTGTGGGGGGATGATTTTTGTATAAAATTTCAAATTTTAGACGAAAAAAAAGTTCCTTATATTTTATTACATTTTAGTTTTTTTGTTTTTGTTATTACTGCTCCATAAATCTTAAAAGGCAGTGGAAACATTCAGGGTTTCGCCCTTATACGAGCAGTCTTGTTTTTTTTTTATTTTCCACGCAAAATCAGGTACCACAAATAATCATCGAAATCGATTAAATTAAATATTATAATAAAGCGCTTTCAGTCGTGAAACGATTTTTTTAAAATTTTAATTTTTTTTCCAGTGTCAAGAAAAACCGGTTTGAAATGGAAAACCGGTTTAGATTTGTCGGAATATATTTTGCAATCTTATAATAGCTTTTTTACGCTTAGAAGTCGACACTAAATTGAAAAAAATAGGTGTTATGCACAGTAACCGGCTATCCTTGTTGTTCCTACTTTCGATACGAAAGTAACGGAATATTTGTGCTCGGGTGGGTTTTTTTTTCTTCAGACAAATTTCGACTTTTTAACTAGCCATTTTTGACGGAATATTTTTATATCATTCGAAAAGTATTGTTGTCCTGAGCTCAAATTTGAAAAGATATATCACCTGTGATCATTTTTCGTAGAGTTACGGGGGTTTAAAGATTGCCATTTTGGCCAATTCGGGACAATTAACGCGCGATATATTTCGCGCTATTAACGCGTAAGCGGAGAGTTAATCCGTCTTAGAAATCGTTCCAAATTGGTTGAAAGAAGCTTAATTGCCATAATTGATTTGTTACAAGGAGCGAAATCTATCCTTTTGTACTTTATATGGCGTGTGGGGGATGATTTTTCATAAAAAATTTCAAATTTTAGAATTTTTTTTTTTTCATTTTGTTTTATTTCATTGAATTTTTTAAATGTTATTGCTGCTCCTTATTCTTAAAAGGCAGTCGGAACACTCAGGGCTTCGCCCTGATACGAGCAGTCTTGTTTTAATTATGTGTTCATTGAATCGAAAATGTGTTCATTGTATTGTTGTCTTTAGCTCAAATTTACAAAATATTTCACTGGTGATCAGTTATAAGTGTTAAAAAATTGCCAATTTGGTCGATTTGGGATAATTGACTCGCGATATATTTTGTGCTATTAACGCGTAAACGGAGATTTAATCCGCTTTGGAAATCGTTCCAATTTGAAGTGAGGCATGCCCTTTGGTCTATTTAATACGTTGCTATTTGTTTGGTTTTTGTTTTTTTTTTCTTAGAAGATGGGGATGATTTAACAGATAAACCTGAATAAAAACTTGAAATGTTTTCTTTTTTCGAAAATTTTTTCAAATTCTTTATTTTAAACTACTCAATAGAAAAAAAATGCAGTCGATACATTCAGGGTTTTGCCCTGATACGAACAGTTTTTTGAACTGGACAGTCTTGTTGAAGCAGTCTAGATGAATCGAGTGCATAGCCAAACTAAATCGGCATTTTCAAACCAACGGAACCAGTTTTTTTTTGGTATAATGTATCTAGTTGATAGCCAAAAATTGTCTGAGTAAAAAAACCGATCTAAGCATAAATGTTTCTTAGAAGATCGGAAACAAAAAGCAAGAGAAGAAGACTAGCCAGTTTGCTGTGCAAGGAAACAAAGCTCCAATTTAATATATCTTTGCAAAATTAAGTTCTGAGTGGGAAAGGCCTTAGTATAGGCTTCGGGAGGTTAAATACAGCTAAATTAATGGGAAAAAATAATCATGCTCTTGGTAGATAATAATAAAGCATTCGTCGAAGTGACGAGCGACTCTTCTGTCTAAATTTGTCCAAAAACAATATTTCAAAATTTTTGGAATCCCGACAGCCAGGGTTTTTTTATGATATAACTTCCGGAGCCCAAACTATATATCTAAATTTTTCCAAAAAGCAAAAGTCAGAATTTTTGAACTTTCTAGAATCACGATGACAGAGCTTCTTTTTCATGATTTCATGATCAGTAGCTGCTTCAGGGGAAGAATTGACAGCCTCGGGGCCCTTCAGCTAACAGATGCCCTCGCCAACCAAACTTTTCACCTTTGTTTACCATTTTA